GAAAGAGTGGATTCCAATCTCATTTGGCATTTGTCCCACTAACTCATCACATTTTACCAGCTGTCCCTTTATAAGATATCACTAATGCTCGAGTGGGTCTCCAAGACTCTGACTGCTCCGAACATTATACAACTGTCATCTCAGCTCTGCCCAGTGGGGGTTACACCACTGCTTTGCAAAATGACAGCTAGATCCTGCTTATTTTCTGTATTGCTAGATTAATGAAAGGGAAACCGACCTGAACAAAAACATTTTTAAAGAAAATTAAATCGTCTTCTTTTATATAAAAGTATTTTCATAGATTTTTGGGGAGGTCCCTTTTATAGGCACTTAAATAGTAGCTTTTCATTACATCGCAATCACTTTCATGCAGAAAAGTAAATTCAAAGAAGAGACTGAACTGTTGTAATCCATAGGATGTTATTCATTCATTCAGCATGCAAATACATGCTCAACACTCAGACTGATTATTATGAGAGTTCCATTTAAACTCCATTTAACATTTAAAGCTCCACACTGATTATTATGCAAGTTCAGAAAACATTGGTAAACGTAGTACGCAACAGAATAAATACCATTTGAGTTAGGCATAAAATGTCTTACCTTCCTTCAAGGCCCTTAAAACAAAGCTTCAAAAAGGCACTTTTAGTATAATTGATTGATTTTACAAGTCCACAGGTTGTACACCAAATATTAACACGGGAAATTAATTGTTGTGTAAACTCCGTGCCAATTGCTACTCATTTTCCAAATATTGAGTAAGCCAGTAAATTCAGATTAGAACACATTTTACCAAATTACAATGTGCCTGCTTCCAGGATACTTTTTTCCCCTCTGTTCCAGTAACTACTTAAGCCACATCCCACAAAATGACAAAGACTGGACAAAAATAAATTCTGAAAGAGCTTACAAGCCTGGGAAGCAGCAAACTGCAGTCAAGGGCCTCCTTGTTATTTCATTCATATTCACCCAGGACTCTGGCTCAGCAAGTGTTCCCTGGGTCTGCTGACAGAAGTGCCCTGCAGTCATGCTTGTTCTGTTATTCCTCACAAAACTGTGTAAAACATGCAGCACTCCCAAATTATTAAAAAACAGCAGAAGTTGAGTTAACTGTGCTTCACCAGAAGAGGCGCTGATTGGAAATGTGATTTTTCAGGCATAATAGCATGATTTAATAGGATTTCATAAATATATTCCAGGGGGAATCCATGGTTTGCTGCAAATACCAAAAGATAAAACTCTATGGGAGGCTCCACAACATCTCTCAATATTTTATTTGTAAACCACATCTAACTTAATGCTAAAATTCCATTTGCATATAGAAAACTATGATGTTTCTTTTGCTGAAGAGTAGTTATATCTTCAGAAATATCCTCTTCACTGTAGTTTAACTCTCCTTGCTGTGCTTGGATACAAGAAAAGCAACGGCTAGGGACTTAGATCTAAACCTAGGCTTATAAATGACATAAGCCTTTAACGTTTTTCTATTGAATTTTTATGGATACTTTCTCTCAAGTGAAAAGTGCTGAGTTTGACAGGTGTTTCAGAGAGACTCCCTCCTAAAATGATTTTTCCAAGTAAACCAATTAAAAAGAAGAAGATAACATAGCATGACTGGGAATTCCTATGATGTCACCTAATTGAAATATAAAACCCAGCAGTGCCTTCACGATTCCAAAGCTATGCTGATTGCCATTTGAAGCTGGAAAGGTTTTTCCCTAATGCACAAGTGATGAAGTGCACGTAAGCCTCAGAGGAAAGTTACCTTATCTGCAGTATCAGATATAGCTTACTGCTGGAGTCAGCAAGCCACACGAGTTGGATCCATACGCTCTGTTCCGATATGAGGAATTAAGTTTCCCTGATGTCATAAATGGAACAGATAATGTAATTAGCATTTCCTTTGAAGTTCACATTGACCAGGTAACCGCTAGAATGAGTTGGCAAAACTTTACTGAAGTCACTGACTGTTACTGAAGTCACTCAGTTCACTCAGACGGAGCCTTCAGCTTTGACACTATAAACTGCTGAGGGATATTTAAGATGCCAAATCCCTAGTTATGATATATATAAATCAGTGTTTATTCCATCACGTGAATATTGAGATCCTGAACTTCTGTCTGGAATTCCCCAGATGTGTCAGGAATATGTCAGAATCTCTGCATTCTCTCCATAGAGTTGATTCCTGGGTCTGCAACAGCTATTAGACTATTCCCTGAAAGACTGAGGGGCATCTGGAAATCCCAGACAGCAGCAGGGTCTCATTTTCCTACCCAGCACTCCTATTGGGAGCACTACCCAGGTAGGAAGTGAGGTCCTGTCTGAAGGATCAGATATTTGGGCCACACTAGAAAACAGGAGACATCAGTTATAAGACCATTCACAGCTTTATAGTTTATAATGTTTAAACAATACTAAGACTGCATACAATCAAGGAGAGGATGAATTTACTTGAAGACTTGGCATTGAGAGCCTGCTCCTTTGGGACTCTTCGACTAGTGTGATGTGTGTCATCACACTCTGTGATGACATGATTGACATGTTTATGATTACACCAATAATTCAAGACCTTCAAGCATCTAAACAGAGGAGGTAACTAAATTACTAACTTCAAAAAAGGGGATAATGGAATAAAGCCAACATTTCATCTCCTTGAAAAAGAAAGTAACTTAAAACTAACTTCTTGGCTACTTTACAAGACAAGATAAATACAGACTTAAAACTGTATAAATTTCCAAAAGTGTTAATATCCCTTGGAAATGAAAATACAGTGATGAACACAGAATTGTTAAATATAATTTTACTTGCAGCAAAAGAGAAAGAATTGGTGAACAGGAAAATTGCACAAGGAAAAGAAATAATTCCACCACTGTCAGTATTTTATGGGGAGATATTTGCAATGAGTGTTGAAACTAATGACTGATGATTAAGTAGAGAACTCCATAAACACTCAGAACAGATATGTTTAATAATACCAATCATAAATTTCAATAAGTAAGGAGTTTACTCATACATTTAAAAGAAGTCCAACTAATAAAAACATTGACACAGTCATATACTGATAATTTAAGCAGAACTACCTATGGTAATACAGTAACTTGAGATTAGCAACTACAAAAATATATATTACATATTGATCTATAGAGTGACAATGTTTAACCAAAAGGTCATTTCATATTCTCAGGACATCCGAATACCTAGAAATGCTTCTGAAGCAACTAGTCTGCACCTTCTTACCCCAAGAGCATATATGTTGAAATCTCTTTATAATGCTGTAAGACAGGTCGTTATTTTTTGCATCCCTTTAAGGAAAAATTAATGCATTTAGGTGTTTGAATAAATAGCACCTCTTTTACTCTCCTTCTAGCTTTAGCTGTAGCCAAACTGGTTATATCTTCCTTCTCTGAAGACTCTTGCTTTATTACTGCTGAGAATAATGGCAGCACCATCAGAACTGTGCTCAGGTTTGAAACAAAACCTCTTTCTTTCACTACCTGGAGAGCAATTATGCAAAGTGCCCTGGTTCAACTGAAAGGAAATATGCTTACCTTCTGTTGGTGATGTCTTCAGGTGTCTGCAGAGCCCCTCTGTCTCCCCATACGTCTCTTTAATTTTTACTACTGCTTCTGTTCCTCGAAGTTCCATGAGGGAGCGCAGTTCTTGCAGCGTGCACCCAAACTCTCCTGCATGGTTGGCCTCATTTCTTTGGTTCTTGGAATAAAAATCGCTATTTGTCATGTCACCCATGGTTGCTGATTATATTGCTCCACTCGTTATAAGTCGATGCAATCTTAAAACTGTTTAAAAATTGAAGGAATCTTGAATTCCAACCTAAGAATTAAAAAGAATCCAGTGCGTGTCTGGCGAGCGACGTGGAGAGCGCCTCTGGCGTGGAAGGTGTCCCTGGCTGGCTAGTGGTCCGCAGAACAGCTGCTCTCAGGGCTGCAGACCAGCTCCACTCCATTCACCATTGCCCATTATGCTGCACCCACTCTGTAGAATCTACATGGTCATTTCTTCCTCTGGACCTTTGGGAACAAAGAGAAAGGACTCATTACAAGAGTGAGCAATAACGCTTTACAAAGGCGGTTTCAGAAGTATTTCCGTCTGTCGGTGCGGACTGACTTGCCATTTAAGAACACCTATGCAGGAACACTGCACAGGTGTCCTGTGAAATGTTGCAGGTAGTCAGAGCCAGCATCAGCAACCAGGATCACACCAGCTCTGTCTTAGATAAAGCTCTCTACAGCTAAAGCACCAATAGCAGTGTTGCTTACTTTAATCAAGTCCCAAGAGCACCCGCTAAATGAGATGACTCATGAATATTGATAAGTAAGTGATTAATCCAGCAGTGCTAGATGCACCTCCAGTGTGTGCTCTGGTTCATACAGCCACATCAGCCTTTCATCTGTCAAGAACAAAGACTCTTTGGTAAAAGCTACAAGGTAACAAAAGTCAGTTAAAGACTACCAGTTTTCATAATGGGTTAAAGCAAAACCGTTTTTCAGTGTAAGGACAGTAAAACTGGTGGAAAAACTAGAGTCACCATTACAAATTCAGAATTCATTTAAATACATTACAACTTGCAGCCTTGCCTCCTGTGAAAGTAAGCATAGCCCAAAAAAGAGAGAACACACTTGAGAGTGCTGGTCTGGCCAGACAGAGCACATCTCCCCTCCAAGGCAGCTGGTGAGCACAGAGCCAACACAAAACCACACACGCCCAAACACATGCACACAGGGTGGTGCTGGGTTTTTAGGTTTGGGGTTTTTTTGCCTTCTTTCTTCTTTTTTTTTTTCTACCATGTGCAGTATTGAACAAGCCACATTTGGACATTATGGGAAACAGCTGATTTCTTGCTAAAACCAGCCTTGAAAACCTGTTTCCCCTTCCCTATTCTAATGAAGCTGGTTTAAAAACTGCTGAAACCAGTTATTGTATTTTGCACAGAGAGTTTTAACAGAGATTAAAGTTTCTTTTTTTTTTTTTGCCTCAAGCAGGTCAGGGAGTGCACACTGTCTAATCTATAGGCCTCAGAATAGTTTTCTCATAAAAAAAAAAAAATTGTGCTTATTTTGAACAGTGTGGGTACAGCAATGGGAATGAGTACACACACAAAGAACACAAAGAGGTTTCCCAAAGGGTATCAAGTTCCAGGGTTTTTTTGTGCAACAATTTTACTCTCCTGCCCACAGTTATCTTAACATGTAGGCTGGGTACTTCCACTGGCCCAACAGCACTGCCAGTGCTCCCCAGGCAAAAGACCAGGCCCACCACATCCACCAACTCCTCTGCCCACAGTGACACTTTCTAACGTACCTTGCTCAGTTAGACTAACAGAGCCTCTACCCTGCTCATTAACAGAGAAAAACTCACTATGTCTTTGGATTCTATGGAGGGGAAAAAAAACCCACAAGAGGAAGAACCAAAGCTTCACTGCAATATTGCAGAATGCAATTAAACCAGCAGTCAGCTCCTACACACTGCTTCTACTCATCCTTTTTACTGACATATATTCTAGTGCTCAGACCTACTGCCAACCTTGGTTTCACATATTGCTTTTCAAGTTCACGAGATGAGAAGAATTTGAGCACAAAATCCTGCTTCAGGTTAAAGAAACTGTAAGTAGTAATTAAAAAGTGCCTTTATTTACCAGGGAGTAATACTCAACTTCCCATGTTTGCATGCTGGACAGTGTTCACAGTATCAATTCACTTCTAAATAATTCCCTGTGCACAGCATGCAGAAAAAACTTTACTCACTATTGCTTTGTCTGTTTATAACAGATGGATCAGTATTCTGACTAAAAATAACATCAGCCTGTAGCATTATTTTGAAAAATTGTGGAATAGAAATGTCACAGATGTCCAGTAAAACACTTCATCCCAAGAGGCACTGAATCACCACAACCTCCACTGATTTTATGCCCCCCTTGTCCTAAAATCAGCATTTCAGACTCTCGGTTTCATCTGTGATAAGTTGCTGCTGACAGCCACATCAAAAAGCAGTCTCAGATTTGATCACGAAAAAGAATGCCCCCCCCAAAAAAGTGAAAAATAAGGCATCATTAGTAATAATGAATAGCTAAAATGACAGACTGCTGTTTACTTCCAGTGGGCAAGAACTAACCTATTCCTAAGATAAGCACACTTCAAGGTCTTGAACATGGGATGTGTAAAATAGTCATGATGTTAAAAAAAAAAACACCAACCAACCAAATATACCATTCATTTAATGTACAGGTGAACTTTTTAAACATTCCTCTAATTAAATAAAATTGTTCTTAAACCATTTCCTAACACCACAGTGGAAAAACAATTATTAGTATTTTCTGAGGAGAACCATCTACTGATTTAATTAGTGATAGAAAAGGTTCCACACTCAGCATAAAAGATGTTTTCTGCATTATTTTTCTGAGATGTGTCCACCACTCTCAATCAAAGCATCTCTTTTGACATACTGTGCCATCACTATACATTAATATATTTGCTTCTATTCTTAGAAACTGATTTTCCTCTGTCAGCCACAGCAAGACAGTCCTGTTGCTTTCTAGCATGTTTGAGTCACTTGCCTGCTTAATTCACCTGATGTTACGAAACCAGGGAAACACCATCTCACATTTTGAGAGGCAGATGGGAAAATATAGAAAGCAGAAAGCATGACTAACATTCACTGATAATGCATCTCTCTAATCCCATGGAACAAGATATGCAGGCTGCATTCGATCCTTGAATCTCTCTCATGAGAAGCCCAGGAACCTTGCCAAGTTAGCATGAGTTACCTGGTTAGTATGAGTGACACACAACCACATCTCACCCTTCCCCAGTGGTGAAGACTCCTTCAAGAAGAGCTGAGGAATACAAAACTTCAGACTAGCATATGGCAATATTTCCCCATCAGTGGGGCTACTGACTTTGCATCTCCAAAACTGATCAAATTACTAGAAGGGGGTGAAATCTAGAGTCTTCTTTGCAAGAAATCTAAGTATTGCACCAGGTTTGGGTGGTTTTGGAGGGAAGGAGGTTAGGGAAAGGATTATTTTACAAGACACATTCAAACCACTGATATTTTCAGTATGTGGATGCCATATACATGATCAAGAAAACCTGATCTTAAAAAAGCAGGTGATATCTGGATGTTTCAATGAAAAAAACTAACAGTTATTCTGTTGCCTCAGAGGAGTTACAGATTCAGACACACTCAGAAGATAAACAGGCTCTTCTAAACTGAGACTGATCTCTAACATGGATGTCTAAATTAGGTGAACCCAATTTGACACTCTGGGTGCCTGCTTCACTGGCTGAGCAAGCCAGTTTCAGCAACACAGGGTGCATTGCACTGGGGGTGGGAAATAGGGAGCTCAAGGACTTCTCCTGTTCTTTTCAGAAGAGCCCTGAGTCCCCTCAGGGCCTCCAGCCCAAAATTTCACAACCTCTGTAACCCAAGGTTTAGTCAAGCTCTTTCATTCTGAAGACCATCATCTACAGGATTTGATAGTTTTCATTTATAACCAAATGCCTCCCAGGTTACACAGAGCCACCATGAGAGCCACCACTTCAGCAGATGATAATTCCTCCTCAGTTCTGCATATTTGGTCTCACCATTCCCTATGACAACAATGTCTAGAGAAACCACTCCCTCATGGACGCATTCAGCAAAGAAAAATTAAAAACTCCACTAACTGAAAACCTAATTTCACACACCATGTTAGATTGTTCTTCCAGACAAAAGCAGTGGCTTTTAGTGCAGGTTATGTCTTTTCATTTATTCTTACCAATCCTTCTGAAACAAGCCTTAGAAATAAGAAATTTGGGTAAAACTTTCCTGAAGTGCAGTTGGAAAACAACATTATGCTGTGGATGAAAAGACAAAATAGCTGCCTACCTAGATTTACTCCAGGTATCAAGGACTTCACGTAAGACACACCCCTTATTTTTCTCATTGTAACTACCCTTCTTTTTCTCATTAAAAAAAACAGAATACAAATCTTCACCTTGGTCTGGGATTTGTCAAGGATGTAATGGATTTTTGTTGCACAAATGCACTACAAACTCAAATTATTTGGGTTTTGCAGGTTTGTTTTGAATTTTTTCCAGAATGGCTGTGTCTTGGGGAACAGGCTTCCATTCCTGTAGAGCCCAAGTCAAATATTTTTCAACTTCTAGCTGCTTAAAGGAAATGCTTGCCAATTAAAACAGAAGCAATTTGGATGAGCTAACCACAGGCCTGCTGGGAAAACTATTCTTTGATTTCCCTAATCAGGAAAAGTCTCATCTTGGAAGCTTGTAAATATTTTCACAGGGTGTTAGAATGATTTCTAAGTAGGAATCATCACCATATATTCTGACACCTAATTTCTTTTGGACTTGTAATGGCAGAAAAATTAGTAGCAAGGTAACAATCACCAGATGAGAATCACAAGACCTGCATTACACAGTCCTGGAAGGTCCAGAGAAATAACAGACTCCTGACTACTAAAAAAATTCAGGATATATTCATAGTTTGACTGTTTTCTCTAAGCTGTCATCAAAGATTACACTAACTTTGATCTCAAAATCCCATGATGAAGGAATTGTTTGCAAAGCCCAGGCACTATCTACTCATCAGGCAGCTGGGAAGGTGGCACACAGATCTGGTTACCCCTGAAATTAGCAGGGGGAAATTAATTAACTCATGACAGACCTTAGCAAGGTAAAAACAGTTAAGAAAACCACAGACTCTATAGAAGTCTTCAGATGCACAAAATA